AAATTAAATTTACTATTAAACTTGGAAAAGTGTTTTTCCATTAAACGAGAAAATTTACTCAAAAAGCGCGTCCTCCGAACTGGTCGAATAATCGAAGTTCCACTGTAGTTTACATTTCATTCCTGGTCTACAAAAGATGATCCCTACCTTTAGTAAGTACATATCTGCGTTCATACTAGGCAGGTATATTCGTTCAATACCTCTTGATTAAGAAGAGAACATCATTTCTCATTTTGAATGAATAATCTCATCGTTCGTTTGGTTTTTGATCGCGTCGAACCAATTAAATACTATAGATCGTACGCAAATGCTACTGTAAATAAAATATCAATTTTAATCTTGCAATTTCAATTTGATGTTTACAAAAATAACTTGACAGGTACTTTTGATAGAATACTTTTAACTCAATTGATTTTTCTCCAACTTATTACATTGATGCATAAAATCTTCTCTAACGAGTTTCAATTTATCCATAATCTAAAAATTTGGATTAAAAATAATGAAAGCATAATAACTAGACTGTCGAATTATCATAGCATTTTATCTGCAACCAATATTTTCAAATAGATAAAGAATGTTAGATGTAAAGACCAAAAATATACGAGAGTAAACAACGGTGTAGTTCGACTAATTGGATCCAAGCCATGTGCATAATAATTCCGTGGTGCTTCACGATGCAACGACCACGAATCTGTTACCAATTATTTCTCTATCCGTTCACACATACGTTATTACAGGCGCGATTTGTTGGATTACTAAACTTCTGATAGAACCATGTTGAATAACTGAAACTGATTTTGGAATACGCTTTCATTCCGATTTCATATTAAATCGATCGTTACAATAACGACATATCCCTTTTCGTCTAACATAAAACGAGAATATCAATACCACGATGAAATATAATATACCATTTCAAAATGAAGAAGGAAAATGTTGAGTGTTATAGATTAAATACTTTGATCATAGAAATATCTGAATATTTCGTTATACCTTGTCAGATAATAATAAAAGGATGCACTAAAATTAATCCCTCAAACGTTTTCGAGATTGAAATAGTCAGATCAAAAATAATATTCTGTGCTACGTTTATAGAAAATGTTTAATCTTGTTAATATTAAATATTATAAATATTCTTCCAAATATTTTATATCAAATTGAAGCTTAAGTAGAATAAATTTTATATAAATATATAAGTATTATATATTTAATATGAAACGTGAAATTATTAAAAGAATAAGGATAGGAAAGATGAAATGATAACATAATATATAGCAGCAATTATTTTCATTATAATCGTTTGATCGAAAAGCATTTGCAATTTCATGTTACTCCTTTACTAGAAGAAAGGAATCTAATTCCTATACTACGATAAAATCGCTAACTTGCAATTAATTATCTCGGACTTTCCTATTTACTTGGAACGTCTATGAACGTGAAAAATAAATCGTTCACGACGTCTCTAGCATTATGTCGTATAGGTAATTGGAACGCATTGACAAGAAGAATCGTGTCGCATGTACAATTTGCAGAATACTAGGACTATCCTTTACTTTGGTGAGTTTCTATCTTGATGTTTCCGCGTACATGTTTCGTGTATCTGAATATATATTGTACACACATTCATATACACAGAAATATGTAAGTGTATAAAGCTTAACACGCAAAAAAGGAAGAAGACATTTCTTCATTCTTCACTCGTGGACATTCACACATTCGCCAATGTGTAAGCGTTTACGTGTGAGTCAATGTAACCACGAAAGATACAGATTATGACGGATAGTTGTACCTGCAACACCGAGTACTTAGCCTGATGCCATTACTGCACGTTCATTTTTCAAGCCGGCATTCTCTGGAGATATCGTTACGCTCCGTAAAGTACACACTTTTTTTCATAGGTAGAACTGAATTAAGCATGATATCGTCAAGAAAAAAGAGACTATAACAAGAAAAAAAAAAATGAGAGAGAAAGAATATCTTTTGATATCGAATGCATAACTGAAATTCGTTTCAAAAGTTACTACAAGCAATTGCTTTTGTGCAACACATATTAATTTTTCGATAATGCTACAGAAGAGAAAATGCTTCTTGCTGTTTCGCTGAACTCACAGACAATGAGATACGAAAGTTAAAAAAAAGAAAAAAATTGAGAGAGATAATACGAAAATGCAGCATAAGACAACTCGTCTGTCCTGTCTTGTCTTGTTTTCTTCTTATTTTCTTATCTTGTTTACTTTGTGCCATTTCTTTTTAACTTTAATAATTATTTTTTTTCGATATTATTATTTTTGAGCATAAACAAAAGCTTCCTAATTCGTACGTTGTCCTTACATTTTATTCTTTTGATTCTACTTATAATTAGAATGCAATTTGGTATGTGAATATGATTGCAAATTGTATAATATCTTTTATCTTAAACTATCTTACTTAAAGGATGACAGAGAGATCATTATTGTATTATTTTCAGTAATAAAACAGCGAAATGTCAAAGTGCGGTTTTCTAAGAAGAAAGATAGCCGGAACGCGTGTAGTAGGATTGTCAAAGAAGAAAAGCTCTTGGAACGTGGTTGTTACCAGCGTCATTATAATTACCGCAAAACCATAACTGTGCGCTTGCGCCGCTCGTAACTAAGATTTAGATCGCGAATAAAGGATATAGAAGGCGTTGCGCGGCACGTAATAACGCCGAGTGGTAACCCACTCGTGATATTATACCGAATACTTCGTTCGCTTTCTCACGGGGATCTCGTCTTTCGCGAAGCTCGTTTCATTGCGGTTGCGATTCCTCAACCTTCTCACTCCATCCCTCATTTTGTTTTTATTTCTACATATCTCTCTTTCTTTCAACTATTTCTTCTTTGTTTCTTTTGAAAGACAGAATTCGTTTCCTCGGGGATACTCTCGGTCCCATGAGTCCCTTCTCCTTTTTATCTCTTCTTCCTTGTTCATCGACGTTCATCGGAAAACCACGCATCTCTTCCATTTCGTCCCGAGTGTATCGAATATCGAACGACAAAACATTCCTTTTGCATTCTATTGATGTATCGTAAAGTTATCCAAAATGCACATTGATTTTTATTGAATCGTTTATCATACTTTTTTCATTCGTATAAAAGTGATGTCTTATAATTAATATGAAAATAAACAGGAAATGTAGATAGAAAATGTACATAGATGTGGATAGTATATTTGATGTGGATAAAAAGTTTGAAAGAATAAAATAATTTTCTTAGGATATGAGATAGTGGGAAAGAAATATCATCAAAAAGAAAGAAAAGTTATCACAGAATTGTCGACAAGATGACAACTCTGTTTTAATGGCTTGCATCGTGATTTTTCTTTTTCGTTTGAAAGTTCTTCATCAGACGGGTTTTTAAACGTTTATCATTTTTACGAGTGTTGCCATATTCCTAGGGACAAATAATGATATTGCATTTTCTTTATTCATACTTTTATATCTATGTTTATTAAGATTCTTACAATGTTCGTGAGGTGTGTTCATGATTAACAAATAATTAATTTTTTCTTATTTGGTATTTCTTACATAAAGAAAAGTATGACACAGCCGGCGGCATAATAAATTCTTACCACGATAAACCGAACTCCTTTCTTCGTCAACTTTAAGATCCCGTTCGTTTGAAAACAGTATGCTATTGCAATCGCGTGAGCACGCGGATGAAGTGCACATGCGGGCTCATGAAATAAGACGTTAAGAGAAGAAAAAAAAGAAGTAGAAAGCTATCAAGAGGACTATCAAAATCAATAAGAGAAATAATATGTAATATTTAATTCTATTTCTATCTTATTAATAGAATCAAAATAAAAAACATTATCGCCTATCGTTAGATTCATTTATAAAATATTACAGATTATTTGTCGTTATCAAAAGGGTTAACGTTTTGTACTCGCGTTATTACTATAGAAGAAGAATAAAATAGATAAGAGTCGAAGCGTATAAAAATTGCGGGACGTTTCGCGCGGTAAACTATGCGTGTAATATGCTGAATTATTTCAACCTCGGCGCCAGCAAACTCGTCTATGCGGTGTCTGCACTTACGAGAGTGAAATTACACCGGCTGGGATTCTTTGAGTGCTACACTGGTATCCTTCGACGAATACCATGGCTAGAATATCTTTCCTATTTTTAAACTTATCGATTTTATCATAAAGCTTAACAAGCAATTTTCGTTTAACTTTATTTAAAGCACACACATACATACATATCAATTTCGATCAACTCCCATTTCTGATCACATTCGAATCGTTCTTTGAAAGCTAATGGAAACAAGATAGATTACTTGAATTGTGTAACAAGAATTCCAGAATAATAGTTGACATGTCATATATTATCGAGTCTTTATGTAGTTAATAGACGGTTCGGTTCGAAAGGTTAATTTAATACGTCTCGGTGACAGTTATAAAGTCGTTCGAATGTATAACGTTGCTTTAGAATTCGTAATGTTAAAAATTGCAATTTTATATGTGCTAGATGGAAACTTATTGATAATTCAAAAAAGTTTTAAGGTCAATCGATTGCGATTGGATAACTTTAATACGAATAGAAATTTATTTCCTTTGTCCAAATTGTACTATATATATACTTATACTTCCCTTAACTTTTTTTCTTTTTTCTTCATGAATATATATACATCATTTCTATGAATATCATAAGGCAATCATTGCATCTACCGTAAGTAGAAGTTTATAATGCTATCATCGTGTTCTCGTAAACGTAAGTTGGATCCAAGGACGTGCTCCACCCGCGCGTGCGTCTAACAACAGCGTAATTCACTTCTCTCGACGAAGTGTACGTCCGTAGAAAATGTCAAATGTTTATGGTTAACGGTAATACGTGCTCGTACGAGACTGCTCCGTCGTCGAGAGAGAATAGATATTGTCGTTTCTTTGTGCTCAAGGTGCTTCCACGACAAAGGTGCTACTGCCACCAGTGCTTACGGGGCAACGTGTTTTACAGCACACGACTTCCTTGCATTCTGACCATGCTACATGTGCGCACGCGTTGCATTATTTCACTACTAAGAACACAAGATCTACTTAATCGTAGCTAGAGACCAGTAATTCTCGACACGGTAGATGTACCGGTGGTTGTAATGTTAGCAATAGTAACGAAGGGCGTGTAGGTTTACCTCCAACAATAAGGGTGACAGGAATGAATCGCTTGAATTCATATATGTAAGTAACTACATCGAATCGTTATACGGATTTAGATTATCATTGGATCGCTATTAAAAAAAAACAAATTATTTGATTTTGATATTTTCCTTGTCATTTTATTTATATTATACGTATATGGATCGATCATTTAAAGATGATTTGTTTAGTGACGATTAATAAACACATTGTCGTGATATAATCCACAGGATGAATCAGTATTTTGGTTTGAATTACTCTGTAATATTTTAATTACACGCAAACGGATGATAGCTCATTTCACGTTTCTGATTATCTTGTTCTTTTTACCAATGTTATTCGATGCTCCCCATTCTGTCTTCATCGAAATCAATCTTCTTACAGTTAGAGAAATTAAAAAGAAGCGCTATCGATGATTTAACACATCATCGAGTCGGTATGCGACGAGCAACGTTTGAAATTCGGACCGCATGAATCAGCGTTCAATCGAAAGCGATCGTTCGCCATCGATGAGCGGTCAAAAAGGATTCTTTTGTGGGCCAGATGTTTCTTTCGAACTCTTACAATCGTGTCACGGCTTTTATAGCTTGGCAGATGTTATTCGTTTCACCGATCTTCTCTCTTAACCATTAAATAACTGTTTCGAACTTACCGAAGTGGTATACAGAGTGCTCTTACGTGCTTAGAAACTAACGCGAAATAACGTTCCAACGATCGTTTCGAAGCTCGTTATTAGCCATTAAGATTGTACCTGACATCGAAATTTCCGTGACAGTATTCGTCGAATGTTCTAACGATCACTTTCTACATACACTGATTTTTCATTCGAAATAAAGCTCAAGTACGTCATTCTTTATTACGTCGATGTGAACGAAGCAATGAATAAATTTGAATAAGTATCAAATTTAAATGAACACAATATTATTACTTCAAACGATTATCTTTATTTGGAATCTATAAATATGTTGAATAATATTCGAGTGATTTTTGAACACGCACATTCTTCATTCTCAATGCGTCAGAGTTTAAACTCTCTATCTACGAGACCAAAATGCACCGAGAGTTCGATGCTCGATTATATCGAACGATAAGTAGTTATCTATCGATCGGCAAGATGCGACAAGAGATGCCAGTTGGAAGCATCGCACTATCTACCGGTACTTAATGCAAGACCGTTATATTACTCGTGATGCCAAATACGTCGGACAGGGACAGCCCGGTACATTCAGGATAATATTCGAACTATCAACTATCTTCGCGCGTTAAACCAACCAGATGGGTCGACAAGAGAAGAAGAAGAGAGAGAGAGAGAGGGAGCAAAAGCGAAAGCGAGAGAGAAATAGAGATAGAGATAGAGAGATAGAGATGATATAAACGTATGGATGACGTTTCCTGACGATCGATAAAAACCATTCCAATAGACGAATATTCGTTCGCCACAGACGCAATTGCTTTTCATGATTGATTTCTCTGTGAAGCACGAATATTGATTAAATTCTTGTTCGTTTATTTTTCGATCATCATGTTGTCGGTTTTAGGGCGTAAGCTAGTGGCATTGTACGAAGCAAAACTAGAAATGTAACTGTCGATCATTCGATTTGTTTGGTTATATAATGGAATAGGTTATTATTGATATTTATGTATGGTTTATTTGTATTGTATAAATATTACAATTATTTTATTCAAATCAAATTAAATGTACTTATATTGATAACATTCTGTTCGTGGGCACTATATGTTATACTGACGCGAATCCGTTTCAAACTAACGTACAATTTTTAAGTTGCAATTATACGTGCGTTTTATACGGAAAGTCTCACGACGGTAAATTATTACGGTGTGAGTGGTTTTGTAGTATATTAAAGGCACTTCTTTAGTCAACAATGATTTCTTAACTTGAGTCTTGGCAACTATGTTACAATTGTTCGATGTGGACTGTATAAATGTACGATATATAACAGACAATGTGTGTTACAGGCAAGAATACTTAATGAACAGAACCCTTCTTACTTTATTTCAAGAGTTTCTATACATGAATTAGTTACACCCCTTTGAACAGGGAAGGACCTAAATGGGACTTATTGGCCAATAGCAGGAGGGTCCACATTCCAGGGTCTCCCGAAGGAAAATCTTATGTTTTTGGGAAAGGGTTGTAGTGGGGGTTATCCTAAGGAATGTTCTTTCTTTCTGTGTGTACCTCATATTTACATAGTATTGTACAACACTTCAAAGGACCCGACACTGTAAAAAGGTTTTTCTTCGCACCATATGTTTCTTTGATCATTGAGATAGTTTGGGATTTATGGCCCTTTGGAATTTCTTAATCTTTAAATAAACAATATCTTATACCTGCTGCCTATCGTATTTTATGATATTTTATTTCATAGGCTTATCGCAGGATCTGTTTCACAGAAATTGAATATTATGAAAAATAACAAAATATAAAGTTTATCGTCTTCAAAGGATTTCGTACTGAACACATTCAATATTTATCAATTTTTAGATTTACCTCTTTATATGGAATGTGTGTATTCAATGATCAATAGAAAGATACATGTATTTGATTCAATAATGTGTGTTAGCAATTTATAATAATATTTATTATTTAAAAAAAAGAGTGAAATAAACGGAAAATTCGTGGCGAATTTTTATTTGAAAAATTCGAATTTAATATATTTTACTCTCAGCTTTATTTAATAATGCATATAGAATAAATGCAAAGCGTGTATTATTATTTTGTAAATAAATCTCTTTATAAAAATTCCGTACAAAACGTAATAACATAGAGAGAAAGAGAGACATACTTTTTTGTATGTTCATAAATACATATTTTTCAGGTATACATTAATATTCCGAATAAGATATTCAAATATCAATTGTATTTGAAATCGTAATTCTTAATCGATTTACGTGCTATCATAGACAATAATATTTGCGGTATATCAAAATCTTGACACGTAAATCTGAATAAGAGAGGAGAGGGACAAACGCGACAGTAGATATATATTTTTGCAAAAACGAAATGTCTCGTGCCGCATTTCAATGGGCAATCGTACGCCACGGCCGGTAGTACGAGCAAGTAAATGGTTTCGCGAACAGAGCACTCTATTGTCCAAATAACAATCCAAGCGCGGAGTTTCCATTTAGGTTTCTCTATTTGGTAGCTGTTGAAATGTGAGGAAGTCAATCGGATTTCGTACGAATTTGTGGCAAAGTATCAGTCGGTGAATAAACGAATTTTCAATGGTATCTCTTGCGCGCATTGGAATGAAATTTTAGTCTTCGGCTTGGAAATTTCGTACGCCAGTTTAATTTTGCACGAAGGAAGAGATTCGTTCGTGAATAGCTTTATAAAATATAGATTGAAAAGTTTCGTTTTCATTATAAGCGAATGCGTTTATCTTCAATCAGGTTGAATCGATTTCCGATTGATTGGTAAAAATCGAAATTTCAACTTTGTCGAAATACTGACTTAACGTTAAAAACAGCAACAAATTGTATTTTTATATTAAAGTTCATCGTTGTGAATCGTACTTCATCGTAATGGCAAAGCTAAATTATTATCCGATCGAAGGGAAAGGCAAAACGAGGTGGATACCACGATGTTGTCATTATTGAGATTTCATAGGAGCGCCTCCTCATTCGGACAATCCCGTTCTCCGAGTAAACGTCGCTCTAGAATTTACACTGCTTGTAATTCATTTCAGTATCGATAAATAACATTAATGACAGTTGAATGGTCTCGGTCTGGTGGAGGAATCCAGAAAGAATTGAGAGGGATTTCAAAGCGAAGGAGAGGGACAACGAGGAAGGGTACAGGTACTCTGATAGTTCCTTACCTCTTTTTCGTCCTTTCTAACGGCTCGATTCTGATCCTCCATAAATACGGTGCAACCGTGTCTTTATATATCTTCTATGGAACATCGTCTGTTGTAAGTCGTTAAATAGACCTGCAGAAAATTAGTTTCTTTTCATTTTCTATTTATTCATTCTATTGGTTCGACTAGTACGGACACGCGTCTGGATATCAAGCTCGCATTGTTTCTCCATTTACGATTCGACCGACCATTGGAATTCCAATCTATGCTTCTGGACTATTTCTAGCCACTAGATTTCAAAGCTGCCGCATAATCATGATGCTTTCAATTCGTATAATTGAACTCTCCTAACTTCTATCTTTCTATTAATCATCGCTTTTCATATACGATCTATTGTCTTATATTTATCAAAAAGGTAAATCGTATTACGTTTCCCCGTACTAATCAGTGATTTGATCAGACTGGTAGGGCTTAATTTCAAAACGGTTAATTAAATTACATAATTATGTAAGCATTGTAAGGTTTCTGAAAGATTAATTATATCAAATAACAACATACTGATCTTTGATAAATCGTTCATATTTAATTGTATCCTTCGAAATGCAATTGAAGTGTTTCCACGGTGTAAGAGAAAAGAAAAGTACAGAAAATTAAGCAATTTTCGAGATAAAAGGAAATATAACGTGAGAAGTAAACGTGCATACAGGTCGCTCTTTTCCGTAGGGCGCATCATCTACGATAAGAGTAACAGCTCATTGCCGTTGGAAAAGGAGGCGTTGAGTAGTTCGTCGTAAGCACGCGCACGTATTCCATAGACAGTAATTACGAGATCAAATGGAGTCCAGGATGGCGCCGAGGGTCGACTCGAGACTACCAGGAGCGATTGTTCCTATTATCAATTACGGCTTTCACGCATGGTCTGTCAGCAGATATTCAAGCTGCCGTTGCTACTGCCGTTGCACTGCCGTTGCACTGCCGTTGTTGTTGCTCCTGCAGCCAAGCAGTAGTCAACAGTATGGTTGCTACCACTGCTCAGATCGTAAAGTCGCTCCAGTCCCATCCAGGCACAAGGATCACCAGGATGGTTATGGTGGCAATAACAGTAGCCCGGCACCGATCCGAGCAATGATTCTACATTGTTCTACAACAGCAATGAATGTCAACTTGATCTCTTTCATTGCCATGGTTCTCTCTTTCTCTCTTCGATACAGTGACAAGCTTTTA